TGTTTGTTTAATCGACGTACTTGGTAGTTCCAACCATAGATATATATAAACACTAGATGGCTCATGGGAGATTTTCCAGCGTAGCTGACCATCTTGCCACAGTCAAAGTTACTCTGATTCACGTTATGGTAGCTGTTGTAAGGTGAGTGATCTGCACAAAAATACTCTTAACTTAACCTATTTATTAAATCTTCATGTTCCATGAGACGCAGCACTATGTTCCCCACATATGTTTATGTTTGCTCAGTCTAATAAACCCATAACATGGTTGTGAAAGAATATTAAAGCTGAGGCTGGACGATGATTGATTGCTGGTGTGCCATGTGTCACCGTGTGTCTTATTGGTATTGTGTTATACTGTATTTTATTGTGTGCAGCTGGTCCTTATCTCCAAGACACATTTAAAACAAATAACCTTGAACCTTGAAGCCCCATCTCTCCCCACCTGCTCCTGCTTCCTACATCCCCTCCACACCACACCAAGTTGTTCTTCTTAATAATAATAATACATTTATTTTGGGGGGCCGCCTTTCATAACACCCAAGGACACCTTATAGGGCACAATATAGTGAACAATTTAAATAGTGGATTTTGTGATATATCAGCCGGGGTGAGACAAGACAAACCACAAATGGACTACAGAAGGACACAAAAGGACACATGGTACAGTTTATATTATTATTGGTCTTTTTTCAATAACATATTTCAAAGGTTCTGGATTTGAACAAAACTAGGATGATCTGAAGATCTCATGTCAAAAATAATTGTGATAAATGAGACAGAACTGGCCTGTCTGTGAGCACATTTTATGTTGGTTTGGTTCTTCTGATAAAGGTGTGAATATCTAAATAATATACCAACATATGCTATTGTCATTATTTGTGTCCCTGTTCTTCAAGCTAAGGCATTGCTAAATTAACAACTCTTGGCTTACAGAGTGGTAACATGAGACCGATTTTTATATATCAAATATAAATGTATTTTAATTTTATAATTTATTTATAATTTATTTTAAATATTAACAATATAATAAAATAAATGGAAATATATACACCGGCAAATATTTAATATAAATACCTTGTGTGTGTGTGTATAGCTATTGCTTTATCTGATTAATGTTATTTTCATATAAAAGTCCATGATTATAAGTATGCAGTATCATAACTACATCTTTGATGTTTATAAAAAACCAAACCGTTTGAAAATTGGTTGAAAATTGAGCAAGCTATGGTTATTTAAATAGTAAACCATAATGTTATGAATGAGAGCACTGTCTGTAGCAAGATGGCGGCCATGTGGCAACGTCGGTCTCCATTGGCCAGCAGCGCGGGTGAGTCATCTAGTGTTTATATATATCTATGGCCTCACCTCCTCATCTAAAGCGCAAATGCGGCACAATAAGTGTAAGCGCGTCACAGTTTATCCGCCGCTTCGAGGTTCCGGTGCTCGCAGACCACTAGCGTGGTCACACCAAAGTCTGTGGCGTGCTGCAGTTCCACTTCAGCTTCTGTTTCCTCACCTCCCTCACACCCAGGGGGAGGGGGGAGGGGAAAAGAAGATAGGATAACCTTTAGGCTACTTCGTTCTCAGATGTTTTAGCAATTTAATGGGCTATTACACTGTCAAATAAATACTTTCTGTTAAATGGGGTAGAGCTATCTTGGGGTAGCTATCTTACTCCTGATAAACACAACACCCTGTCAAAAATATTGACTTGGGTGGAAAAAAAACATATTCAATATGTCATGGACTCATACAATTGAGATGTAAAAAGGATAAAAACTCTAAAAGTCAAAAAATAAAAACATGTGTTATAATCGGACTGAAACTGTATCAGTTTACTGGTTTATATAAATTGAACCATCAACCAGTAAAATGAGGATTACAGTCATAATGGTATGTTTTTGTGTGCAATCTTACACATTGTTCACAACTGTTGCTGGTGAGAGAGAGTAGACCAACATCTCCACCCTGCATTTTTTCTGAGCTTTCAAGTTTGAGGTTCAATTCAATTATGTTGCAAGAAAATGAGCCTGATCCATTAAAATGGACATTCACTAGCTGATGCCTCTCTGTAAATCAGAGATGGATGGGGTGTTCAAAAGAAGAAGAAAAAATCACAAATGAGTTGTTCAAACTTAATAGAGATGGAGCTAATATCTACCTTCATATAGTCATGTGACTTTCAGATAACTTGTACTTTTTTTTGATAATTTCCCACAAAAGTCTTATGATATTTTACAAGTTACACTTGACAACTATTGAGCCAGCGAAATAAAAATAATTATAAATGATGTCATATTGCTTATGTCAGTGTGTTGAGAGCCTTTGATGAGGCATATCAAAATAACACTTGGCTGAATGAAATTTAGCAAACAAATAGTAAACAAAAATATAGTAGGGTGTGAACAAATGAGATTGAATATATGAATATATGTCCTCCCTAACTGCATCACCAGAGACTGTCAATCATCTACAGACCACTCCCCTCCCCTAGGTTATCAAACCCCCCATTTAAGGCCTGTGAAACTTCTTTACCTGCAGAACAAAGACACCTGTCAGTTTGAACTTAAACTTTTCCCTTTATGTACTTTAGCTGATGACATGACCCGTTTGGTTTACAATGAACAGATTATTTTGTATTATGCTGGATTCCTTTTGATTTTGCTTATGTTGTGAGGAAAAGGGTACATTGATTATATTGAGTTTAATCAATGATAAAAGTAAAATTAACAATTTATCAATTATAAATTTAAGTTAAAAATAACTGTAATATATGCCAAATGTTTTATTGTATGGAAAATATAATCCACAAATTACCATCCACCATTAACATTTTGACTGCAATAAAGTGTTAAACGGTTTGTGGTTGCAGTGTTTAATGTGCGCACATGCTGTTCAGTGACCCCCAGTGACCCCCAGTGACCCCCAAAGCAGCAGTTTCACACCATATCATGAGTTGGCTGTAACTTACATTAGGTTGTTAGCAGACAGCAGAGAATACATTACACAGCTAGTGGCCTACCACTTCCTGCTGTATGTTTCAACATGTAGGCAACAGAGGGGTAAGGTTGGGAATATTATTACCAAAGTTATATATAGTAAAGGAGATATGATAAATAAAGGATCCTGTTCTCATACAATCCATATAAAGAGCATATAGGAGAGTACGGCCTTGTTTTACAAACTCCGAGTGAAAAAGGTTTCTACTGGATCATATTGATTTAAACATGTATAGAAAATGTATAAAAGACAAATGACTTGATAGTACATATTGTAAGGATAACAAATAATTATCATTTCATTTCCCTGAAACCTGAAACATGCATCCTTCTGAAATGCATCATTGTTAGATAGTTGAAATGTCTGGAACAATGTGGAGGCCTTCACACATTTACACGCTTGGTGATAGATGTGAGGACAGGCTCTGACGATGGTTTCCTATTGGTCCACAGCAGGGCTAGGCCCGCCTCCCGAAAGTCCTGATGGGAGCAGTAAATAAGAGGGTTCAGACCACAGTCCAGGTATGACATCACAGAGGACAGTGTCCTTAACCAATCAGGTGCCGGTGACAGGTCTCTCCTGCCCAGCAGGATCAGCTGAAGGAGAGGGGATGCAAATAAAGAAACAGAGTGTGAGTGGCCAAGTGTGTGTTCACTCGATTGCTTTAGCATCTGTGTGTACATGCATACAGAACCTCATGTGTTGTTCGTTGTATGTGACTAGTGAGTGTTTCACCTCAGACACAAAGAAGGGAGTGTAGCAGAGCATGTAGAAGGACACCAGCAGAGGACTGACTGAAGACAGGTCTACTGCATCATCACTGAGACAAAGAGAGAACAAGATGGAGACAGGAACTTGGAATGCATATAGAAATCCTATTTGTATTTGTACTTCTCTCAGCCTTAGAGAACATGCTTTATTCTGTAGCTATCACAGTACATAGCACTACGGAGTACAGGTAGCTCTATATCAGAGGTAAGTTAGGGATGCTCAGTTAAGAAGGAGAAAGACTGTGTCAGGTGGTTTAGTCATGGTATCAGCGAGTACAGATCTTTTGGCAAACATCCCCACCCTTCCCCCAAAATGATAAGGAATAGCATCACATCCTCACAAGCGATCAAGCAGGAACCAACGTTTGGCATTTTTGGTTGAAGTAAGACTGAAAAACTTGACCAATGGAGTCACTGACTCAGCTGAGGTCTGCTCTGTGCACATGCATATTTAACTTCTGATTTGACCTGACCTGTCATCACATCAATGGCTGTATTTTTACATGACTAAAATATCACGTGACCAGTTTCCAGCTTGTGTTGTTTAAAATAAATCTCCTCTCACCACCTGTTCCAGATGGAGTGGCAGCTGCTGGCACTCAGTAGAAGAGAGCAGAAGAAGATGAGGACGCAGGGGAGGAAGATACAGAGGGAGAAGGCACAGAGGATGTAGAGCAACATGTCTGAGTAGCTGTTCTCCCAGAAGACAGCACACAGCATCTCTGCGGGGTCGTACCTGCAGAGGAGACATGATGGAGATGAAGCAGCACCACCTGAAAGCTTTGAGTAAACGACATACCTGATCCAGGCGTAGACCACAGGCACGCTCCCAAACACCAGCCCTGTCACCCAAGAAGCCAAGCAGGCTGTCACCATGACAACAAAGAGAGCACTTCCTGTGGAGGCCATGCCGATCAGTCGTTGCACACAAAGAATAGCTAAGGGATAAAAAGAAAACATCAAGTGACTGAATCAAAATAAATACATATTATAAAAAAGTTACTAATAACGCATTTTAGTGATGCAAGGACTTGTACCAAATCATTTGATATTTCAGTATTTGAAGTGGCAGAACCTGCCAGTAATTCATTTACTTTAGTACAGGATCAGTATATAGTCAGTATTCACCATTCACACACATTCATACAGAGATAGAGGCTGCCATACGCTGCACCTGCTAAGGGCTATTAACATTTACACACACTCACACACCGTAGTCCATTACATCAGGAACAATTTCTCATTTTCGACACCTTCAACAATTAGCCAGTAATATTTTTTTTAAGGGACATAGCAGAGAACAATACATGTCCAAGTTTAAGTGGTTAGAAGATATTGTTTCACTATCAAAAGCTTTTTCAGCATTCTGTAACAATGCAGCATGTGGAATGGCATTCCAGTCTCACAAAAAAACGTGTAATATCTACGGTGGTCCACAGAGAAAAACGTACTGTGTTCCCAAATAACTCTCTCAAAACGTGACATGGCTACAATATTTTTTACCTATTCATTTCTAATGGCCAGTGTCCATGTCACGTGATCGTCAACTTTCCCAGCGTGAGAAAAAAAACATGGCGGACACCCGACTTCTTTTTTGTGAAGTGCATATTGTACTTTTGTACTTTAGAATCTACGTCCTGTGGATGTGTAGGATCTATGGTTTGATAGATATTTTACCTATAGAGGTTGCTCTGCGTGAACCCCACTGAAATTGTGAGACTGCTACGTCTTTCCCCCTATTCATTTCTATTGAATAGCGTCCATGTCAAGTTATTGTCAACTCTCAAGCCGTGAAAAAAGTATTTCCGGTCTCTGCGTTTTCATAGTAGCTAAGGTGGTTGCTCGGGATGCATGTTGCAACCGGAAGTATTCCCCTTACTGTTGAATGATTTTACAGTGACATCTGCAATCAACTAAAAAACATCATATTGTCCTTGTTGATTACACAACATGAATTGTTTTAAATCGTGTACAATGCTTTTGTGTTTTTCCCTTTAGTTTCTGAGAGACACATTTATTTTTTCAGAGTTTTGGATAGCCGAAAACATTACAATACCCATAATCCTCAGCTATCGTTGAAGCTCTATGATTAGATGGCGCAATGCACGTTGGAATGTGGTGTTTATGCGATAAAAAATACGAAAAACATTTAAAAAATAAAATAATACTTTATTCCGGCTGCATTAAATATATCACATCTGCTGTAGTTCTTTATTTATAGAACCCTAAATCCTGACTTTTGGACAAACCGGAAGAACTCCCATATCAATATATCCGCAATTAAACATCTTACGGTACGTCCACACAGCAGCTTTAAAAAAATCTTCCAACGCTTCCAACGCTTCCCTGCCCATTGACTTTGAACGGGAGTGACGTCACTTTGCCTCGCTTTTCGCCGAACTGCATTGTGGGGAAGCAAAGCAAAGATTTCCAGGATTTCCAGGATTTTCAGGATTCAAAGGACCGCAGTTAATTTCCTCATATTCCAAACGAGAAATTACGGTAACAAATCACCCGGTTCTTTACGACCAGAACTATTTACCGGGATACAAACCGGAGGAACCAGGCATGGAGGGAGGTGGCAGGGACAGTGGGTGAAACTGGTAGGTTTTCGCCTGTTTGGGGAGTTTATATATATATTAGGGCCGGGACTTTAACGCGTTAATTAAGATTAATTAATTACACAAACATTAACGCGTTAAAAAAATTAACGCATTTTAATCGCACTTATTTTTGCACACAGGGGATAGG